TCAGTATTAGAGAGTAGATCAATATTTATAAGATATGATAAAATATAGAACACTTTCCTGTCCCTCATAAATATTCCAACAAACGAAATTATTGAAGATAGATGTTACACTGAATAGCAAGGTAGTGTGTGTTTAAATATAGTTATTCTTCAGTTTCAGAATATTGCTTTCCAGTGTCAAGAAAAACTTGTTATTAAACTCTGGAATTAAATGTTATGCTAATGTGTTGAATATATTTACATTTTATGGAATAATTTTATTTGTTCTGCACTAGCTGGCTGGCAGAGAAATTCAGCAATATTTGGTGATATTTTAAAGTTGTAATATCATCTGCATTTGACTTATGGAATATAACTATAAATCTGGAAATAAAAAGCGTTGGATGCTGTCTTTAGCTGCTCTGAGGACTCAGACATAACTTACCTACCACTTCCCAGTGTACCTTTCTGTGAACCCAGTTCTCATTGGCTTGGCAAGTTTCCTGTCATCATAAATTGTGCTAACATTTAAAAGGAAAACTATGAAAACTACAAGGAAATACATTCTAAAGATAATTTTTAAAGATGACAATAGTGAAACTATGAAAACAATCCTGAAATGTAGAGAGCAAATATATTTTCTGCAGTTGGGGTGTATCCCTCGCTATCTTCCTACACATAAACAGTAACATCAGACATATATGTACATAGTACGTACAGACATGTGTGCTTTATACAGGAAAGATACGACATCCCTGATTCTTTGGAGATTTATTTCTCCTGGCCAATATATGTGCTCTGGACAATATAGATCATCTTATTCTTTAGGTGACGAAAATCCTGAACTTCTATTGATGACCATCAGATATGTGTATATGTATGTATGTGTGTGTATATTTTTGTTTTGGTTTCTTTTGGTGGGACAGGATCTTCCTGTAGCCCCAGCTGGCCTGAAATTCTCTATGTAGAACCATTGGCCTTGATTTCACAGAGATCTGCCTGCCTCTGACTCCTGCCTGTTGAAAGTAAAGACATGCACCACCACCACACCCAACTTGTGTATATATATATATATATATTTAATGCACACATATTTTTTATTTTTAATTGACAGAAATTATATATTTTTATTTTGAACAAGATGTTTTGACGTATATGTATGCTGTACAATGGTTAAATCTAGCGAGTTAGTGCATACCTTTAATTCCAGCACTTGGGAGACAGAGGCAGGTAGATATTCTGTGAGTTTGAGGCCAGCCTGATCTACACAGCAAGTCTCAGGCCAGCTAGGGCTACATAGTGAGACCTTGTCTCAAAAAACAAATGCATTACCTTACATAGTCACCCTTTTTGTGATGATACATAAAACATAGCATTCATTTTCTTTATATTTTTCAGAATATAATGTGTCATTATTTATAATCTTTCTGTATTGTATTTACTGAAATTTATTCCTCCATTTTAACAATAAGAAAATATTCTTTAAAACAACATCCTGGTCACTCCAGTTTCTAATAACCATGGTCACTCTCTCTACTTCTGTGGAATCAACCTTGTAATGTTACATATTGGAGTAAGAGTGTGGGGTATTTGGCTTTCTGTTTTTGGCTTATTTCATACAATGCAACATCCTTCAGTTCCATCCATGTTGTCCCAATGGCAGTATTTCATTTGTTTTATGGAAATATAGTATTCCATTGTGCATATGTAGCACATTTTCTTTAGCTGTTCATCCACTGATGGATGCTTAGCTTCACTCCAAATCTGGTTAGGGCTCTAATGAAAAGTGCTATAATAAGCATGGAGCATAGCTATCTCCTCAACTTATAGATTTCACTCCTTTTGGACATATACCCGGTAGCAGGATTGCTGGATCATATGGTAGTTCTATTTTCACTCCTTGAGGAACTGCCATATTATTTTCCATAAGAGCTCTGCTAATTAGCATTCCCACCAGTAGTTTATAAGGATTCCCTTTTCTCCTGTCCTTACCAGTTCTTATTATTTTATCTTTTTATTTTTGTGTGGCAGGTAACCATTCTCTAGGGTAATATTATGTATCATTGTGGTTTTGATTTGTGTTTCCTAAAGATGAGTGGTGAGCATTTTTTCATATTCTTGTGAGTCATTTGTATGACTTCTTTTAAGAAATGCCTAGCCAAGTCTTTGACTCATTTTTAAAAATTGTTTAAATTATGTGTTTGCTTGTGTTTCTCTGTGTGAGTAGTATGTGCACATGAGTGCAGTGCCAGAGGAGGCCAAAGAGGTTGTTGGATTCCCCAGAGCTGGAGTTACAGGCCATTGTGAGCTGCCTGATATGGTGTAGGGAACATGGGTCATCTGCAAGAACAGGAAGCATTCTTAAGCACTGAGTCATCTCTTCAGCCCTCCTTTCCCATTTTTTAATTGGATTATTTGTGTAATTTCTTGTTTGTTCTGAGTTTTTGCTATTGAGTTGTTTGAGTTTCTCATGTATTTTGAATATTAACCCTTGTGAAATATATTATTAGCAAATTTTTCCCCATATTGTAGGTTGTTTCTTCACTGTGTTTTTGTTTCCATTATTGTGTGAAAGGTTCTTAGTTTGATGTGATCCTGTTTGTCTATTTTTTGTTGCCTCTGGTTTTGAGGTTTTTATATCATACACAAAATTCTTGCTCAGACCAATGAAGTGTTTCCCCTGAGATTTATCTAGTTTCAGTCTCAGGTATCACAGGAATGCAGGCCTGTCGAGTCCACCTGCATCCCAGCATCGCTAGGAATGCATCTTAACATTTGTGGATAGCAATGTTTATCACAGTGTCAAAAGGTCAGACACCCCTGCTTGCATTGATGCTTGTGTATGATGAGAGAGAAGGGTCTAATTTTACCCCTTTTACATGTGGGTTTTCTGTTTTTCCAGTATCAGTTACTGAAGACACTTCTCTTTTCCCAATGTATGTTTCTTGGCAGCTGTGTTAAAAATGAATTGACTATATACGCATGTATTTATTTGCAGGCTCTATTTTGGTGCGTTGTTGTGGGGGAGGTGTGTGTGTGTTATGACGATACAGTGATGTTTTAGTTACTATAGTTTTGTAGTATATTTTGAGGTCAGTCTTATGCTCCCTCTTTGTTCTTTTTTTTTTTCAAAGTCACGTTGGCTCTTTTTGGTCTTTAGTGGTTCCATAAGAATTTTAGGAGTTTCTATTTCCGTGAAAAATGTCATCAGAACTTTGAATATCGATTACGTTGTGTTTATAGGTCACTTTGAGTAGTATAGATAGTTTAACAATATTAATTCTTCCAATCCTGGAAGAATTAATTTTTTTTCATTTGTTTATAGCCCATACTCACTTTAACAATTAAGAGTTGTACCAGGCTTAAAAAATTATGTAGGTAGGTCTTTGCTTTAATTTAGCCCAAGACCCAGACATGATCCTCATTAGCAGTGTCCTTAAAGATTTGTCAGTTGCTACAAATATAATTTTTATGTGTATCTGTTTGTTTGGGGGACAGGGTCTCATGTAGGGCAGGTTGTCCTTGAACTTGCTATTGTAGGAAAGAATGCCCTTGAACTCCTGATCATCCTGCTTCTATCTTCCAACTACTGACATGTGAGCCAGCAAGCCCACCCTAATTTTAAACAGTATGTGTGTGCCTTCACTAACTGGCTTACTGAGATATCGTGGAGGTGAAACAGGACCACAGTACAAGGAGATTCAGACCTGACATTCAAAAGTTGTGATTTAAGAATTTCAGAATTCCTCTGACTCATACATGGCACCATATCTTTTAATAGCTCCCATATAGCTATGTTTAACTTGTATTCTGAGTCTCAGCAGGGAGGGAGAACAGTATTCCACTACCTAGCCTACCAGAAGAATGGGTCAAAATCTTCAGGAAGGTGTTTTTCAAAGTATATGTTTTCCTTCTAGTCTTCAGGTGGAACATGCTAACCTGAATGAAAATTACTATGTATAATTTCAGATGTTACTATTTGGGAATATGTTATACAGTAGTGCAGAAACAAACATTAAGGCAAACAGACAAAAAAACTCAGAATAATGTGTATGTGTGTGTGTGTGTGTGTGTGTGTGTAAGATTATAAGTGGTAAGAGGTTATCTTTTTCAAGTTAAATGGCATCATTAGATCTCTTTTTCTTTTCTTTTTTAAACTTTATTTATTAGTTTTATTTTACATGTATGAGAGTTATGCCTGCATGTATGTAAGTGTACCCATGTCATGAGATACTCACAGAGGTCAAAAGAGGGCATCAGATCCCCTGGAACTGGAGTTACAGGTGGTTGTACAGATGGTTGTTAGCTGTCATATGGGTGCTGGGAATTGAGCCTTTGTCCTTTGGAAGAATAGCCAGTGTTCTTAACCATTTAGCTGTCTCTCCAGTCCTCTTTTCTTTTTAAAGTGAGTTCTTCTGGTTTTTTTTTGTCCATTTATTTGTTTACTTCTTTATAGTGGTGCTAGAGATTGAATGTAGGACCTTGTGCATGCTAAGCAAGCACTCTACCACTGAGCTACATTCCCCATCCAGATCTCTATTTTTATTGATCCCAGCATCTCATTATCAGTCCTAGCAGAAGCCTTTCCCTTCTACTCAGGTCATAAGAGGCCCTGTATAAGCACTGGTGAGTGGAGGCCAGCAAAGCGCAGTGGGGAGGTGGACCACAGAGGATGAGAGGGTCTTTTGCAAATGCGTGACAGCAGAATTATCCAGCCTTTCTGAAATTACTGGAATTGAAAGTCTGAGAACCAGCTCTGTGAACATGCAGCTAAATTCATCATCCTTCAGACCTTTAAACTATATTAAAAGGGGAAAAAAAAAAAAAAAAAAACCTCATAGAGGTCTGGGATTCTGACAGTTTGAAGATTCAACTTACTGAGCACATTGGAGTGTAAGAGTCACAATGACAAGGACATGCTTGTCTGGAGGGCAAGGGTTCCTCAGCCCTGAGCTCTCTTTAGCACCTGACGATAAGTGAAAAACCTGAGAAATACTAATGTGTTCTCTGCTTTATCTACAGACTGCAGCGGAGTATGTAAAATCTCGACTCCCAGAGGCCCTTAAACAGCATCTTCAGGACTATGAGAAGGACAAAGCAAACAGCCTGTTGTCCTACCAGACCATCCTTGAACAGCAGATCTTGTCCATTGACCGAGAAATGCTAGAAAAATTGACCGTATCCTATGATGAAGCAGGTATGTTGTTATTAAAACATACAGGTGTTTTTTTCCCCTACAAAATGACTTTATGGATCTTGGTTAAATTGGGGCTTTTTTATGGGGTAGAAGATTAAGGACAAGCTGAACTCAAAATTGTATAATATAGGTTGGTAGTAAGTTTGTTCTCTGTAATTTTAGTAACAGAGTTTTCAGGAGATTCCTAAAATGGTTCTTAAATATCAAATCCCTTTAAGTTTTTGCTCACTGTGAATGGAATTTTCCTGGCCTTTTATCAACAGTGTACTTCTGTTGATCTAATCTTTTGAAGTGCCATTCAGTTTTGAATACCAAATGAAAACTTTTATATCTAGCAATCTGAGAGCTATTATTTGATTCAGGTATATATTTTTTTAATTTCAGAGATTTTGTTTTCTAAAGTGGCACTTTTTTCCCCTTGAAGTTTTATCTGGATTTGACTTTTTTTTCCTTTAGAAACTCAAATGAAATCTGCCCTCTAATACCACAACAGACCTCCTTATTAAACCATTTTTATCTATTATATGGTCTATGAACTAAGAACCAGTATTATTGAAACTTTGTACAATATTATTTAGAACCATTGAAATCTTTAGTAAAATTAAATTTCAGGCTGAGATGTAGTCCATTTGGTAGAATCCTTGCCCAGCATGCATGAGGCCCTGGGTTTGGTCCCTAGGACCACATAAAACCACGCTTGATCGAGCATGTCTATAATCCCATCACTCAGGAGTGGAGGCAGGAGAATCTTTAGCTACATGGTGAATTCAAGGTCATCCTTGAATACATGAAACCCTGTCTATTAATAAATAAATAAATAAATAAATAAATAAATAAATAAACATTAAATTAGATGTCTACAGTAGAAATCCCCTGACTAAATATGACATGCCTCTCCTTTTTTTATTTTTTTAATAAAAGAGGAAAAGGATAGGAAAATAGGTTTCTGATGGCCAGATGTCAACAGTATCAAGCCCTAATATCCAGACCTCTGTTGTCATTCCTACTAGAGTATTTTAAGACACTGCTTATTTTCAGCATAGTCATGTGAGCAGACTTAGTGCTGATGCTCTTAACATTTGATTTCAAACTTTGATAGCATACAGAAGAACAAATTACAAAAAAACAACAACTCCGCCCATTATGCTGCATCTGCCCAACTGCTAATGCAACTTTTTCCATTCTTATCCAGAATCTTTTGTAATTCCACACTCTAACTTTTTTACATTTCTCTCAAGTGGTATCCACATTTTTCACCTTACCCAGCACATGTCTATTCTCTGATTCCCCAGTCTTATTAGTTTTCTAGATGTGTTGGCTTTCTTATGCCTGTTGGTTGGCTAGTTATTTTATCTCTTATTTGTCTTGATTCTAATATTCTTCTTTTGGAAATCTCTCTCATTAGAGAGGAAATCTCTCTCATTGGAGATTGACTCCAGGGCCTTGCAAGTAAGATTGTAATTAACCCATCTGAGTTACTTACCCTGTTGCTGTGATAAAATATTAAGCAACTTACAGGAGAAAGCATTTATTCTGGCTCACGGCTTGAGTTTATAGTCTGTCATACTGTGCTTTCACCACATTGCTCCAAGCCCTGTGAGCTCAAGAAGGATTTGTTAAGTACATGGTGATGTAGCAGGCAGAGAAGGACGGGAAGAGGTGAAGGGGTTTGAGGCATACAAAGCGGAGATCTTGATTAACAACTAGTTGTGGAACTAAAACATACACGTATGCCCTCTAGAGATGTTCACATATGACCTGCAAGAAAAAACTCCCAGGAAATTTGAGACTAAGCAATTTTCACAAGCTATTAGATTGAAATTCAGAGCCCAGGGGTAGCAAAATTGGCTTAAGTTTTCTAGAAGGCTCTTTAGGGGAGACCATTAATTTTAAATCAGGAAGGACAAATGTTAAAAGAAGTAGATCTTAGAAGAGAAGAGAGATATTTTGTAGTGGGGGAAAGGTAAACCCCAGTGGGAGTGAGCGTAAGCCATAACTTCCCACCACCCGGTTTATCCTGCAGGAATAATTTCACACTCTCCTTTGCTGTCACTGAGCAGTGGTTGCTCTTCAGAGGTTTGTATGTATGCATCCTTGGCCTTAGAGACAGTAGTTTGATACAGAATTAATCAATCAATAAACTCTGCAGTGTGGGGCAGTGGAAATAAACAAAACTGATAATTGAAGAATCCAAGTTCTAGGCCTTCTCTCTAATATTGATATGATCTTTAGAAAATTCATCTTACAGAGCCTCTGTTGTTTTCTTTCATAAAATTGAGCTAATATTCCACAGGATTGTTTTAATAATAAAACATGATGCTTGGTCATGAGGTCCTCAAGAATCATTTTGCAAATGCTAATTAATGCCACTAATGGTGATCATAAGGATAGACTTGGATCTTGTCCATCCCTCAAACCACATTAAGCCATTTTTTTTTTTTTTTTGAGAAGCGAAGCAACATCTATATAGCTCACCCTTCCTGAGGGTGCCTGAATGCCTTTGGCCATTCAGCCTGAGTTGAGGCAGGATGGCCGCTCTGGTGGAGGCTGGGTATGGATGAATGGGTGAGTTGTAAAATCAAAAAGTCACTGCCTCCTCCTCCATGGCTCATATACTATTGCTTTTAACCAAAGTAAGAGGAGAAAACTAGGAAAAGATACTGCTCTTTAATAGGAAAATAGTTCATCCAGTACGAGTGAGCTAGGATAGAAACCAGGAATAGTGTCTAGTCCCAGAGCTATAACCACTTTACACTTAGACCCTCATTTGCTCCAACTGTTTGACCTCTTTCCACACTAGCCCAGATTTTGCTTTCTCATACTTTTAATTCAGCTATTCCAGTTTTAGGAAGGAATTAATTGTTAAATAGGAAATATCCTGGTCTCTAGAGAGGTTATTTGCTTTCATGCTCACCCACTGATAAGTCAGCTGAGTGACTTAATGACAGTTACCACCATCTGTGGCTTCTAAATTTCTAAAATCTAATTAATGAAAAAATCCTTAGACACTTGTAAAGCATTGGCTCACAGCCCTTTCCTCCTTCCTTGGCCTGCTTTTTTTAAACTGTTTATTTTGAACCTATATTCTCCCTTCTCTTTTAAATATAATAACCTTGGGGCTGAAGAGATGACTCCATGGTTAAGAGCACTGTCTAATCTTGGAAAGGATGCAAGTTTGGGTCCCAGAACACACATGGCAGCTAACAACCATCTGTAACTATAGTTTCAGGGGATCCAGTGCCTTATTTTGGCCTCCACAGGTATGGCATGACATGGGTACACTTACATACATGCAGGCAAAATGCACAGAAAATAAATAAAATTATATATATACATATATACACATATACATATATGTGTATATATGTATATATCCTTAAAGCTTTGCTCACTCATCATCCAATTTCAAAACTTAGCAACCTGAAATTCAGTGAAGCAAAATCCATAGGTACAAAACCAGGCATAATGGTACACACCTATAATCCCAGCACTCCAGAGGCAGGGACTAGAGAACCAGAAATTCAAGGTTATCCTCGGCTACATAGGGAGTTTGAGGTCAGCCAGGGCTACAAGAGACTCTGCCTCAACAACAGTAAAAATAAAAATAATAAGAGAAACTATGTGTGCAATGAGTGCATGTCCCAGAATTTATAGACAAGACAGAGGCTTTCAGCTCCTCCAGAATTTGTGCATTTTTATTTACGTAGTTGTGACTAATGAGATTACTTTTCTAATTGCTATTTTGTTTTTGAAAATTCATTTTCTGGCTTTACATGTTATACTTTAATTGTAGAAGTAACTAAAAGCAGAATAGCATAAGAGGATAATAAGATTACTAACCTTAATTTATAAATATTTTTGTTATATTATCATCATGGTAAGCATTTTAAAAATGTGATCAGTACTAGTAGTTTTATGTCCTGCTTTTTCCACTTAGCATAATTATATGAGCACTTCTGCATTTCATTAAAACTTCTTTGTGTGAAAATAATTTTAATGACTGCATGATATTCTATTTGAGCTTACCATTCACTGAATATTCTCCTATGATAAACATTTATATTTTTATTTTTGTTTTGCTGTTATGAATAACTGCAAGAAATATATTTGTCTGCATTTCATATTATCCTAGAGAATAGACTTCAGAAAATATGAGTTTAAAATTAGAATTAGAAGGTAGAGTAAGGGAAGGTACTTGGCATGTAGCACCGAGAATGGCCAGGGATGAGAGCAAAACAGTTATCAGATCTTGAATCCTGTACTGCACTCAGTCTTGCGTTATTTAAGACCCTGTTCCTAGACTTGACTGTGTTCTTCATAATGGTGATCTTGCTGCAAAACGAAAATGTTCCATGGTGTTATCATACTATGTATTTCTAAACAGAAGTTGTATAGACTAGTGTTCTCTCTATTTGGGTTACTGTAACAAAATACAGACTGTGTGACTTATGAACAATAGGAATCATTTCTTAGCGTATCAGACAACAGCAAGCCTAGGATGGAGGTGTCAACAGATGCAGATAAAGGGCACTTCCATGTACACAGCTGTCTTTTCTCTGTGACCCTACATGCCAGAATGGGTAAGAACATCTTTCTGGAGCCCCTGTTATAAGGATAGTGAGCTCATTTGAGAGGGCCCTGCCCTCATGACCTGCTCACCTTTCAAATGCCATCATCATGAGAATGAAATTCTGTGTTACCCAGACTTTCATCGCTGTCAGAAATACCTGAGAGAAGCAGTACCACAGGAGGCAATGTTTATTTTGCCTCACTCTCAGAAGTTTCAACCTGTGGCTGTCGATGGCCATTGCTTTGGCTTTTCATGGGGCAGAACATTGGCAGCTAAGTTGCTCACTTCTTGGACTAGGAAGCAGAAAGAGAGACATAGAGTGCTGGGGCAAAATATAGCCCCAGGAACTGGCCTGCTGTGAAGTAGGTCCTCCATTTAACCCCATCTTTGATTGCTTCCATGTCTCCTAACAATGCCATGAATCCCTACT